TTATTTCTGGAGAATTTTAACTTCAAATTTTAATGCTAAATGTATATGGGCTTATTCAAGACGTGATATTTCAAAATAGGCAATCATTTCAGTAAATTTTCTAATATCAAATATTGCTGTGCTACACTCTTATCTAGTATGCATATTTAGTAGACTCATGGTATATGCGTGTATGTACTGTAGTATACCGTATATACACATTATATGGCAATAAGTAAGCAATGTTAAAGAATGTGGAATTTTAAATATTTATACTCTAAATAGATAGGAATAATTTTCATTCATCCCAACACGTAGGAAGAGACTATTGCTACAACCACTTACCTTTCAGTTACAATCAGTTGATGGGTTGTTTTGAATGAAAATAAACATCTCTCCAAACAGCTTGGCTGTTTGCTACAGAAAAAAAATTAGTAAGCATCAAAGTGTTTAATAGATTTTAAAAATTGGATATGGCAAAATAAATGGATCTTAATCTCTCTATAACTTGAGTAAATAAATGCCTGCTTTAATTCAGGGCAGCTTGCCTTTGAGCTCCTCCCTTCTGCTAACCTCACCGGTCATGCAGTGCCATGTAAATGAGCGAGGCTCAGCTTATCTCTTGCATCTTTGCTAATCCGCTCCCCTTCTTCTAATCAGGCTACACAGAAGCCAATATCTATTTTCATCAGGCAGATAGGATCTTTTAAGGAATTAAAGAGGTTTTTCACTTATTTCTGCGGTGGGCAAGGACACGGCTGTGATCTGGGGTTTTAGGGATTTCTCATTATGCACTGGCACTTGCTGGATCGAAGAACTGAGTTCTGGCTACCGGATTTTTAATCCTCTTGTGGTTAGGGTTAGAACTTCCAGTTATTTAAGATCTTTGATTACTCAGCACTTGGCTTTTGATTGAGTGAACTTCTGAAGACAGCACAGGGCTGTGATTTCAAGTTAGCAGTTTGAAAGTAACTACTGGAAAAAATAGATAGGAAAAGCCTTGTGATTAAGCTAACGCTATCCCTTTTTAATTGACTTTTCTGAAGTTACCTGGTGCTTAACTCCTCATGTGCCAAAGAAAAAGAAAATAAAAGGAGGGGGTGAATTTCATGTTTTCGCCGAGGGGGGAATTTCAATGATATTTGTTGGACTCTTGGCCGTGGTGACACCAAGAGAGTCCCAGCTTTAGTCAGGGCTGTGATTGACACAGGGAGGGTTTAATATGGAAAAGATGAGGCATGTTTCCAATGATGGGCCCAAAGTCCCTCTGTTAATGATTTAAGTCTTCAGAATAAAAACAGAAGCAAGGCCACCACAATAATGTCTAGAGAGAGAATACAGACATGTGTAGGTCAAAATATATCATGAATAAAAATGTTTTCTACTGGCTAATATAATCAGACAAAATAAAGTTACATGTCTTTCCCTACAACTTGAGGAAGTAATGAGTTGTCCCATCCTAGAGGGAAGTTATTTGTGAAGTCTGCTTTCCCTCAGACTGGCAGGATAGACAACTTTGAGGAACAGAATCAATGAAAACCACAGCTCTCCACTCCAGGGCACAGATTGTTGATGGGGGGTCCCAGGAGTGCTGTCTGGTCTCAGAGTGAGTCTGTGCTTCTGGTCACATTCTGTGACACTCCTCTTTGCCCCTCCTCTCCTGGCTCTTTCCTGGTTGGGGATTGTGGACCAGGTGCATCTGACTATGGGCCGTGAAGACCCACCCCCAGGTCCTCTGCTATGAGCCACCCATCCTGACAAGGGGTAAGGAAGGGGAGGGTAAGAAGTGTAAGACAATTTTATCCTTTCCTTTTTGGACATGCTCTTAGTAGCAAATTTCTTTTTCTTTTCTATTCTTTCCCCCGCTTTAGGAAAGGCATGGGGTAAACAATGTACAGTTTTTTAAAAGCTGTGTAGTGAATTAGGAGAGTAGACACAGCATGCCTTTCAATTCTTGATGCCATCCCATAGTAACACAAGAAAGAAGACAGGTGAAGCCCTGGCGATGGTCCAGGAGGATGGAGCTGAGGAGGAAAGTGAGTGGGAATAAAATGTAGACACCTAGACACCAAACATTAATATTCTCTAAGTGGTTCATTTTGCTTCCATTAGATACAAACTCTGCATCCAAAACTGGTAAATTGTTTGCACTATAAAATAAATGTCATTCTGTGCAACACAGCACTTGATATTTCACTTCCAAAGTGATCCTCAAGAAACATATCAAGTGAAGGAAGTCCCACTGTCAGAGATGGTAAGTCGTCTCTTGTGGGACAACCCTTTCACACAGAAAATAAACTATAAGAAATATAAAAAAAAAAAACAGAAAAAAAAACCGGTTGTCTGAAGTCACTGGAGAGTGATCACAACCAGGAAGAAACTGGAAGAGAGTGACACTTGAAAGAGGTAAATGGCTGAGAGTGAAATTGTCACTTTTTTTTAACAGTTTTTCACCCAAGGATCTCCTCCCCCTCCCTGTCCACCATTAGTGCCACCTTATGGAAAAACTAGAAATTGGATAGAAAATGACAATACTACCGGTGTAAAAAATCAGATGGTAGATTTCAGAGCTACAAGGGCCAGAAGAAAATGGAGAGAAGTCCCAGAATAGAAAGAATTACAGAGGGTGTGGTCCAGGTGTGCATATAACATGCAGCCCAAACTACGGAACTGCTATGCAGCATCCATGTGAAGCACGATGCAAGGAGCTCAGCCAAGTTTACAAGAGAGATAACAGTTGTAACCTGTGCAGGGGAGGCAGAGTTTTGAATCTCTCTTCTGCTGGGAAAATTGTCTACTAATACAAAAAACTAATGCTCTCTGGAAGAATATAACAGAATCCATAGTCTCTATAATAATTTTATCTTGTCTATGATGAAATAAAAAAATTAGTAGACATGCAAAGTAAAAATACACAGGCAAACATCAATCAATGTGTAAATAACTCTCAGATGTTGGGATTAGTAGACAATTTGACAGGAGCTATTATAACTATTCTCAAAGATGCGAAAGAACATAAAGTACAAAGATTAGAGTCATAAAATATCAGCAGAAAAATAGAAGCTGCAAAATATAGCCAAGTGAAAATACCCGACTGAATAACAGAGTATTTGAAATTAAAAAAATATATATCAGTAGATGAGTACTCTGGCAGAATAAAGATACCAGAAGAAAACAGTAAAACAGAAGTTAGGTAAATATAAATTACCTAATCTGAAGAACATAGAATAAACAAATTGAAAAAAATAATAAAGTTCAGGTGCTCTTCGGGGCAATGTCAAGAAGTATAACAGACGTGCAGCAGGAATCTCAGAGAAAAAGAAAGCTTGGCTGGAGAAAAACATATTTGAAGACATAATGGTCAAATACTTTCAATTATGACAAAGTTTACTAAGCCTTTAAAATGACAAGTCCCAAAGTTCAGGGGAGTTGCTTTAGAATCGTAAATGAGAGGCATGCCATTGCTCTTTTACCAGAGATAGGAACACATCATCTTTCTTGACTACAATTTCTGGGCCCCATCCTAGCTGAGCTGGCCTTTCCCAGGCATCTAGGACAGGGCCAGGTCTCTCCAGGCTCTGGTGACTAGAGCTGGCCATCAGTATTTATACTGTATGTGTGTGGATGGATGTGTGTGTGTGTGTGTATGCATGTGATTGAGGTTCTGGAGCTGAAAATGTGCATGAAGGCAGGTTAGGCTAGGAGGATGTAAGTTTAGAAAGGTAATTTGGGTAACTGGGGCAAACTAGATTCCTGACAATAAGTTTTAATGTTATCCTGATGGCAATGTGGAATATTGGCAAACTTTATGAAGACATTACCAATTAAACATGGATTCTCAGCAAACACATTTCTGGTACCAACTTAGAAGAGGAATTAAAGTGGACCAATCTCTAGATTGATTCTCAGTAGAGGGGCATTGAATGTTCTTGATAAGGCATTTTGATCAATGCAAATAAAAAGGATGAGGTGGATTTCTGGTGGCTTTTGAGTTAAAATGAACTACAAGCCAGATTTTTGTGGGGAGTACCAAAAGCAAAGATATCTAGAACTCAATGGGTGTCAGGTGGAGCAGAAGTTTATTCAGTTGACAGGCAGGGGAGGCTGAGAAGCAGTGTTGGGGACACTGTGATCTTCATGATTCTGGGAGACACGTAAAAGAAAGCGTGCAATGGGAATGTGGACTGTGGGCCTGCAGCTCAGCTGAGGTCCCAGAGGCCTGCATTAGATGGAAAGATACTGATTTTATTTGAATCAAAGTCACTGGTGTCTCTAGGAGAATAGATATAATTATTGAACAGACCCTGTTCCCAGAGAGAATCACTGAAGGCAGGTGTGAGTTTAAAGAAAGGCACTTGGAGGAATTTCAAGGGCATCTCAAGGAAAAACAATAATAGAAACCCCAAAGTATCCTGAGAAAGAGATGGGAGGACCCTCGGGAAAATGAGATGCCTCGGCACTTAGGTTATGTGGTGTGGTTGCCATGTCGAAGGCAGGAGGCTATGGATTTAGCATTGGGCAGTTACAGGAAAATCAGGGGCTTCTGGTGTTGTGTTAAGGTCACAAACTCCTTTGAGAGAGTATAATTCTTTTTTTAAAATTTTTTTTATTATGTTAATCACCATACATTACAGCATTAGTTTTTGATGCAGTGTTCCATGATTCGTTGTTTGTGCATAACACCCAGTGCTCCACGCAGAATGTGCCCTCTTTAATACCCATCACCGGACTTACCCATCCCCCCCACCCCCTCCCCTCCAGAACCCTCAGTTTGTTTTTCAGAGTCCATCGTCTTGAGAGAATATAATTCTTAACAAAACAGTGGTGGAAGGAACTGGACGTTAGAGGGTGAGGAGCTGGATGAAGAAGGTGTGAGGAGTGTGGGTAGCTACAGTGAGAGTGACTTCAGAGTCATGTGTTTGAACTCTTCTATTGAATAGTTTAATGTGAGTGTTGCCAGATAGGGCCCCTTTTCATGCACGTCTTTGGAGGAATGTCACCTAGTATGGTGGGCAACCTACCAGGTGGTCTCAAGAATCCTCTCTTCCTGCTGCCCGTAGCCCATCGCAGCCCGCCTACAATGAATGGGACTGACCTCCGTATTCTGTGGTAAACTGAAGATATGATGGAGGGAACCCTACTCACCATACCAGACATTGTGGCTTTGGACTTGCTCTCTCTTGAATCAGTTACCTCGAGGAACGTCACTTGCTGTGTCGTTCCTCACTTGAGGAATCTGTGTGCGAGGATTTAAAGCCTCCCGCCCATAGTCAGTGGCGGTTTGCTAGGCTTGAGGGGGAGCAGCATTTGAAGTGGATCCTTAGCCCCATCGGGACTGCAGATGCCTGAGCCCCGGCCAGCATCGGGACTGCAGCCTCACGAGTGACCCCTGCCAGAGCCACTAACGTCTTGATATGCAGCAGGTGTGTGAGATAATAAATGGAGACACCTGGTTTAAGTTCTTATGTGTTGGTGTCATTTCTTATGCAGCCATAAATAACTACAACAACCAGTCCCTCTATTATCATGCCATTATTTTGTGTTATTTCAGTCTTGTGGAATCCTTGATTAAAGATCATACTCAATAAATCATCTTAACTTTTCCCAGATCACCTTGCTACAAGGACAGGAGTCTCAGGGTACAAGATGCAGAGCTAGAGAAAGGTCAGGTCTGTGGTTTCATGCTTGTCATCAGTCCCTCTGTTTTTACCATGGACTTCCACCTAAACAATAATGGTTTACTCAGTGATTTAGATGTCCTCAAGTGAGGATTTCAGGCATGAGCCATGTGGTTCTTTCAGACTCTGGTTTTCAAGTGATGGAAACTGCATAGTGTGAAATGCTGAACAGCTTCTGTGGAATATGAACTTGCATAAAGTTGCCCAAACTCACTTTGTCTTTATCTGTATGTTTCCAGGGACCAGCAGAATTGCAATTTTGCTTATTTTGTTAAAGTCATATATAACCGAAATTCATTCTAAAAATATCGTTATGACATTGTGTCCTTAAATTCACTGTAGTGTTCGATGTGGTAGAGTTTCCATATGCGATATTCTTCATGCTAAAAATAGTGTTACTGTTTCTCCCAATATGGAAAGCAGGTACTTTGATGGTGGGATTGATCGATGTGTGTAACCTGATCTTCTAGGTTTTCTCTGCTGCTGTAAGTGGATTCTACTCCTTCTCCGGCCCCGTAGGGAGGGTACCTGTGAGCCTTCCCTCCTCAAGCTCCCACAGCCACCCAGCTGTTTTTAATCTTCAAGCGGCTTCCTTTTGTTATTCACTTTAATTATTTCTGGACATCAATCCTCTATCCCAAACTTACCCTCATTTCTTTCTTCTGCAAACATTATTTTGGGGGCTCGAGTTTTCACACATACTTCTGTACCAGCTTCATTTACTGCACATAAGCATCTTGGTCCATAGCAATTTTGTATTTCCATAGATACTGTAGCCCTGCAGCTGAAAAATAAAAAAAAAATAAAATAAAAAGGATAATGCACATAATCAAGGAAGTACATATTTATCACACATCTTCCTTACCTCATGGGCAATGTTCTTGTTGGATGTGTGAGGAGGGGAAAACATATAACCAATACCAAATCTATGACCAAAGTTGCAATCTTAACTTCAACTATTTTATAAACTTAATCTCTGCAGGCTGCAGTGATGTTGTAGAGTTTAATAGCTATTTTGTCATTGCTTTGCATTATATTTGTGACAAATGACAAAATTTACTCACTCAGAAAGTTGTTTTTTTAAACTGCAATAAAAATGAAAATGAAGTCAGCCATGATGGAATTGTGATTATAATATTCTCTTAGTTTATCTGGATTCTGTAATAAAGGCATCAACGATGCTTAGATAAGATCTTAGATCTTAGATAATAGATGCCCTCTATTATAGCTTTGTATTCTCTATTCTCCAGGACGATGTGATTGTTGTTGAACATTTCTTTGGATTCTGTGTCTCAGATATTGAACCCCTATCTTCCACATTATCACAGATTTCAGGGGTTCAGTCATCCTCAGGACACAGCAAAGACAATAGATTGATAATTCCTTCTCCCCTTGGTGCTACTTGGTACCTCAGAACTTTTCGACAAATTGTGCAAATAGCTAGCCTACACCAAGAAAGTGCCCATTTATCAGCAAAATTCTATATTGGGTGGCAAACTGAGGGGGGAACATTCCATCCCACGTCTCAGTCTTCACAGTAGCTACCAGTCATTTCAAAACCTTGACTTATTCATTCCATGCAAGGCATTATTAGAACCTTGTTTTAAAGTTTTTCTGCTTCGATTCATAGATGATCTGATTCAATCAATGAGCAAAAATCTTTTTGTGTCTTCTGAGATTTACTGGCATGTTTTATCTTTTTGTTTAATCCAGCGATGTCTAAGGCCAGTTCAGGAATGAACTTGAACCTCTTCAACTTAAAGATGAATATCCTTTGTGCAGGCTGACATGGGATATGTCAGGATGTGGTGGACTTCTAGGTAGGTTACCAGTGAAGAAGTTTGAAACCACCTTGGTGAAAGGCTATGATCAATGGAAATAAAAAGAGAAAGACTTCATCACTTCAGCTCTGTAAAGATCTTTATGGTGCTTAAAGCATAAATGGCCAATAATGGGAATGTCTGCATGGTGGAAGAGGGGGGCAGAAATCTCCTTGCTCTTGGTAACTAGAGGTCCCCTTTATTCATGGGGATTTGAAGGAGGGTATACCACAGAGCAGGATCAAACAAACCCCTCTTATTTTCATACCCTCCAGGATATATATGATGTTTGTGCAGCTTTCGTGATATTCACCTATGTTTTGCTCATTGGATTTGGTTATAGAGAAAGCATCTCAGAATCTGCAGTATTAGGCCTGCTATAAATACCTTCCTCAATAGACACCTGCTTCTAAGCCCCTCATTGTTAGCTGATTAAGAAATAACTTTCTAAGTGCATCTGCACTTTTCTTTATTTAAAAAGGATACTGAACTGTTTTTATTTTCGTGCTCTGTATTTTTTCCCCACAATAAATGAAGACTCAATATCTCTGTCCTAGAAAAAAAATCACTAATTGGATCACCTTTGATTTACTTGCTTGTACTCTCCATTCTTTGTGTACTGAAAACATTTTTGCAAGGGCTGCTCTATTCTTAGGGACAAATTGATTCACAAATAGAATTTGGTGGAAAAATGCAATGGGAGAGAATGAGCCAGAGGGAAATCAGAGTAGGAGATAAGAGAATCAGCAAATTAGAAGAGAGTCAAAAATAACTCTGGTATAGATACACCTTAATTAAGGGAATCAGTGTCTCCAAGATAGGTATTTTATAGTGTTTCATGATTTGCATTATCAAAACAGATGCATTTGGAAAAATGGGGTTCCTGTAATATGTAAAGAGGGGCTCAGGAATTTTTCATGAAAATGTTAACCTCTTTCATTGGCCAATATATTTTCCTCTCCAACGTACCACCATCTTGCTCATTCCCACTTGCCGGGACTGCTGAAACCCATCTATAACTTTCCTCAGTCTCTTTTGGAGTTCTCCCCTGCAACTCCCAGCCCATTTCTCTCCCCACCTCATTATCGGAGTAATTTCCTTCATAAAAGATTGAATTATGTCATTGCCCTGGGTTTTAAAAGCTAAGTAAATTTGGATATTAACATCAGCAAGAATTCTGTGATTGAGGATGAAGTCCATAATCTCCTTTATAGTCTGGCAATTTCCCTGGAGGCAAGTAATGTGGTTTTTCTTTCTTTTCAGCATCATGCCCAGAAAATACATATTTACTGAGTGACTTGCATCCCCAGCCCCTTCACCACCTTTGCCTAATCTACTCCAACTGCCCTATCTTCTGCCTCCCTTATTGCTTCATTCAACCAGTCATCCATTCCTCCTGGGGGATCTGGCATGGATGGTGCACCTTTCTAGTCCAGATGAAATTGGTAATCAATCCTCTGACCTCCAGGAAATGGTGGTGGAGGGGCTCACCTAGACTGTCTGGGAGAGCCCCACAGCCGATGTCCTGGCCTCGGTGCACAGAATAGAGAAGGTGCCTTGTGCAAGGCAGGGGTGGACCAGAGGGTCAGGGCACATGGGCATTCTCAAGAGGAGGATTGACTTGTGAGCTGGGGATGAAGATGGATAAAGTTAGGCAGGGTCAGTTCGTGGAAGGTCATATTTAGGATTCCTTTGGGGGGCAGGGAGAGCACATAATGTTCTCTCAGATGATTCAACTAAATTCAGCAAATTGTCTCAGGAGAGATTGCAAGTGGATGGAGGTTTTGAGGATCATTGGGGGTGCTGGCAGCCTCTGGGAGTTGACTTTTCAGATGGCTCAGACTGCAGTTATTATAATTCACGGAGTCAGCTACTTGACTCAGACAACCTGTTGGCCCCATTTCCAGGAGAAATGGTTCTTAAGGGGTCTCTCATCAGCCTCACCCTGCACCAGTCCACATATCAATGACAAGCCCCTCCACCCACTCCCCTTCATGCCAGCTGGGTCCAAGGCAAGCCCACCTCTATCTGAATCTGCTTCCTTCCCAGTCTGCTCCCACCATGTCCCACAGCAAATGCAGAAAGAGGAGGAGAGTGCATATGATGCATGTATCGGAAATGCAAGCCACACTCAGGTCTGAAAAAATACGTATGCCATCTTGGGAAAAGACAAAGTGATTATGGTTTTTAAAAGTCAGTGACAAAACTTTAAGATTGATGTGAATTCTGCAGGAATACAATGCCAAAGTTAGATAAAACTAATGATTTACTGCAGTCACTTAGAGAGGTGACAAGTTCACCATGGCTTTTATAATTGTTGAGAATAGAAATAATTTACCAGATAATATACAGGGTGACTACTGGAAATCATTCACTTTCCAGGTGATTTGAGATTTGAGTGTAGACCGACACTCAGTATTATAGGTCCATGGAGGGTTTTTTCTGGTATTATTTCTCATGCCAAATGATCACTGTCCCCCAAAATATTGTGATGAACCTCAAACAGGGTGATTTAACAAGTATATGTTAAGCAGCATTTCTAACATCATAATGTGTGGTGTGCCTTT